GGGTATCTTTTTTCATGAACCAAAGATATACCACTGAGGAGTCTGAATGGATTAATTAATTTTCTTTGCTCAAGCAAGTGAAGTAAATCTGCCTTAAATTACATACTTTTAACATTGTCTGTGGTCTGTTTCACACAGATTTAATTTCTGGGGAATTTCGCAATTTCAAGGATATCAATCCTCTTACAATCTATAGTATGCTGTGAAGTAGTACCCAAACTAGGCAGCTGGTTACATCTGCAGATTAATTCTATGGTACTGTGTTTATTGTGATTCTTTTGTTTTGATAACTTGTTTTGACGACTTGTTGAATTGGGTAATTTGTGGTGACTTCCCTGCTTGGTATTTGAGATCTCAAATCATGTGAATTTTGCCTGTGAATTGGAATTTTTATGCCATTTATCCCAATTTATGTTGGCACAGGCTGACTTCTGTGTTTGAGATAGTGGAAGGAAATGTGCAATAGTTTATAAATTCATTCCAATCTATTTGCAATTTAATCTTATGATTGTTAGAATATAGGAATAGAAAATAAAATTTTATTTATAGTATCCTTTTCACACACACATATATTTAGCTTTTGTGAATGTCTTGGCTTTTCAGCAGAAATGTTTCATATGTCATGAGGGCTAAATTTTGATTATGGATCTGTAGAGAAAACTACCCTCAAAAAATCTTCATGTACGGTTGATTCCTGGGAATGTCTGGCCCTAAGATCATGAGGCAATTCCTTTTACTAATGAGAGTTTGTCTGCATGGAGGTATTGGAAAAGGTAATTAAAGGTATAATGCATGTTAATTGAAATCTGTAAAACTCCCATGCCCATGATTTTATTAATTAAGAGAGTGGCCTGAGGTCACAGTAATTCAATCGAAGACCTTAAAGGTACGGACCCTGTTGACAGACACCACAACAACATATGGTGAGGAATTTACTCTTGTGGACAAATCCATTTGTCAGATGCAGAACAGAAAAGTAAAATGGGCGAGAGCAGTGCTGGAATTTTCTTTCAAGGAGTTTTATTTCAATCTGTCTTAAAGTCTGTATCATGTCAGTCTTCAGTTGGAAAGTTTCCTTTCATTTCTGGATTGTAATTAATGCTCAGATTTTATGCATTAATAGTAGCCAGTGGGGGAGAGGAAATTGGGAGGGGGAATAGGATATGGTAGCCATGTCTCAGTGCCGCCCATACTGCGTTGCTAGGTCAGAGAGGAAGGAAGCTAGCTGCCAAAATAGTGTATATTTTTTTTTTTCCAGTCTTTGGTAACTCCTGGAGTTCTCAGACGTATTTTAAGACTTCTCTGGTGTCTTGCTATCAAATCCACACTTGTAAAAACATGACTTTTGCTGTTGTGATGTTTGTATTGCATGGACATTTCAGTAGGACACAGATACTGCTGACTGAACTGCAAGAGAAATGCAAACAGTGTGGAAGATCCACTGTTTACAGAGGACTATCACAGCGGTGTATAGGTCTGAAAAGAGCCATGCTGGTTTTACAAACATTTAGTTTGCATGTGTTAATTTGAATCACTTTCAGTTTGGGCTCGTAAGTGGTTAAAATAAAGAACATTCTTGCTGACTGCATGGACTTCCGTCAACCGAGCGCACTGCTGCAGTACTGCTGTATAGGCAGACACTACGTCATGTCGTTATCTCTGTTTAGCTTGCCTGTGCTTTATCATGTTGCCTAACAGTTTTAATAAAAAAAAAAAAAAAAAAAAGAAAAGAAAAAAAAAAAGAGATACTAGTATGAATAGTTGTAAGTAGAACTATCTGAAAGCAGCGGATCTGGAGTGCCTTACACCAGCTGCTTGCTGAAACAAAGAGAAGTATTATGAGAGGCACAATAAATGTGTTTGCTATCTCTGCTTTCAGTTGCAGCGCAGACACAAGCCATCACAGTAATGAATTATGAAGACTGGAGTTTGGACTTAGGGAATTTTATAAAACACAGTTGTTTTATCACAGTGTTGTCTTGCCAGTTGTATGATGCTAGTCTGGTTACCATGGAGTGTGGTCAGTTGGGGGAGACAAATGTAGTCAGTAAAACAGCATTTTGTGTGGTAGATTCTGCTGTGGTTTCTCCCTCTCTGGTTTAAATTCAAGTTTGGTAAGGAGGAAAGTAGTGTGGGGAAAGATGTCGTCCTTCTTCCTTGGACAAAAAGCAGTTTTAGCCCTAGTCAAACTTACAGGCTGTGTGAGAACGCATGGTGCAGTACAAATACAGTATATGAATGTGTGATTTAAACCCGTAAATGATGTAGAGTTATTTTTTTCCTCTTGATCTTACTCTGTTACCCAGACTCTTCTGTTTGGAATTGTTCTCTGCTTGCCTTGTGTCTGCAGGATGGGCTATAGAAGGTGCTGAGCACCCGTATCTTCTGAGGAGGTGCTCCGTGCCTTCCAACCTATCCGGTAAAAGCTCCTGCTGCTCCTCCCTGCTCACTGCTGCTACCTGTTTGTGAAGTGTTGTTAATTTGATTAATTTTGGCCGAATGGCTCTCTGTGGTGCTGCAGATAAATATACCAGAAGGTATCTGAAGGCCTCGGTGTCCCCTGCATAATTACATTATTTTACAATTAGAAAAATGCATTACTAAATTCAACAGGCTTTAATTAAAAGCCATTCCTTTCTTTGCTGAGTTTCTTTAAAATGGGTTTCTATAATTCCAGCATACTATAGCAATAGGATTTTTACCAGATTTTCTACTCAATCTGGATGTTAATATATAAATGCTTTTGTTACTATACATATAATAAGATGAATTGGTTTTGTTGTTGTTAAGACAAAAAAAAAAAACCCACTGAAATAATTGTATAGTATCAAGGCTCCTAGGCGCTATTTGGGAAAAAGGAAAAGTTTCTAACTTACTAAATTGGACAACGTCTAGAGACTTTTGTCTTTCGTAAACATCAGAGTTAGCTTTACATGGATATCTAAATGGCCTGGGCTCCTGTCAGGAGTTGCTCGGAAGAAATCAGCAGGAGTTGGGTGCCTAAATGGAATTTGTAGTTCTTGTAGTAGAATTCTGTGTTTGAGTATTCAGAAGTGATCTGAGATACTGCAAGAGAGAAGAGCGATTGCACAGGGGTGGGATGAAAGTATCACAAACCTTAGCTGATGAAAGTTTTATCTTTTGACATTGGTATGAACTTCCCCCCCCCAAGATAGAAGTGAGGGAGATTCCTCACTGAGAGAAACTGGTGTGATGTGGTTTACTTCCAAAGTCTAGAATATGAATGCTATGTAGGTGGAGTTTCTACTGGCAAAATATAAAGGCTGAAGAAAAAATGCAGAAATTTTACTGCTATGAAGATTATTTCATATGAGAGGTCTTTTTGATAAAAGCTTCTCTGTGTGACATTAGAGTGGTTGGGGGGGGGGCTTTGGTTGTTTTGAACAGGAGAGGGTCTGGATTTCTGTCTGAGAGCATTTGCAGTAGGGCAAAGTTTTTTACTATTTAGCTGAGATGGAAAGTTCCTATTTAGATTTGGTGCCAGAGTCTTTAATAGAAATCATGACTTGTGGTATATTATAGGTCAGTGTATATTTGCTAGTTTATATTATGCTGACTAAATTGGCAAAATGCTTATTTTTACTGGTAAACATTCAGGAGGTTTTCTCCTTACTCGTTCTTTTTCCAACAAAATAGTATTTGTCGTGTGTGGATTTAGGGCAACATTTTATAAATCATCTGCCTCGGCGATGATGTGAAAATGTGCAGTGGCATACAAAGATTTCCATTGTCAGGTACATCAGGGCTGTAGATGGAGTTAACTTTATCCTAATTTTAGTTCTGGAAATTATGGCCGTGTAGAAAACAAAATGCTTCTGGCAGTGTAGGAAAAATACAAATGTTAAACTCTAGCAAAAGTGGCTATTTCAGGGATATTACCAGAACGAGTAACCCTGGTTAATTTAGCTCCTCTCCAAGCCCCTTATGAACCCCGCAAAGCATTTTTTTTTTTTCTTTTTTTAAACATCTTTAAATCCCTATGAAGTCTAAATATGACCTGTGGCTGTAAGGATGTGAGTACCAGTAAAGTCCATAACTGCTGGTGAAATGTAGCACTGTGCTTTAGGCTATACATTTAGCGAGACATTTAATTGCAATGGTAGAAGTCCTGTGGTCACGCTTTAATGCGTGCTTAGTAACAATACGTGGATGTGTTTATGTGCAAGCTAACTGTATAGTTTCTGCAGTTATTTATACACAGCTCCCACATGCTGTGAATAGCATTTTCTAAGTGTTAGATTGTATAAAACTTACAATCTACTCAGTGCTCTACTGCCAGTCTGCCTGGTTGAAAATTAGCATTCTTCAAATTGAAATTTTGTGATTCTTGTGCTGAAGGACTGTGCTCTTTTTTTCACTGCTCCAAACATAGTTTAAAAGGATAGAGAAGGACATTTAAGGCCAAACTTATGCTTGCATCAGCAAGTTCCAATTTTTTCCCTAATTTTTACCTTGCATAGTTCTATACCAGACAAACTTGGTTTGGACAGCTTTTTATAAAAGGAATAATTTGAGAATTTGAATGTTTATTCAGTTTTAGATCTTGAATATTTGGCATAAATGTGAACTGTAGCCCTGGAATTTATAACCACAACCATAAGAGAAGGAACAAAGCGTATTTCGTTGTGAATAGTCATGCTTTGCAGAATGAGGTAATAAAAGTTCAGGGTTGGAATGGCAGCTTGTAAGAAGGAATGCCTCTGAATAAAAACGCTGTTGGAAAGATGTGTTAGCTCAGCCTTCCAGATCATCTGGGGTGAGTTGACCCCTCTCGTGTTACCTTTTCTCAATTGTTTATTCCAGCATAAAGCACCAAAGTACGGTTCATGATGCCTTATTTATCTCTCAGCCACATAAAACTTGCCTGTGTGGACCTGACATCTCTTTGGGACATTCTTCTGCAAGAGTGTTTTGAAAAGCTTACTATTCTACCTCTCTTTGCTCTGTCATGTTCACGCTCACTTGTCTTCTTCCTGTAGGTGAAGCAGCTCTAAGAGGTGAGCCCAGAATGCAGTCTCTTCCAGTATCCCCTGCTTTAACCAACCACCGAACGGGCCCTCCTCCCATCAGTCCCAACAAGAGAAAGCTCAGCATGGACCAAGGGGAGGATGAGCTAGACTGTGAAAATGACCATGTTTCTAAAATGAGTCGCATGTTCAATCCGCATCTGTAAGTGCCTCGCTTTCATTACCACGGGTTCATAGAATTTAATGCTATTCCCTTAATTTTTGTGTGCGCTAAAATCGTACCATGTCTAAAACTTTGTGCTAGGTTTTTCCTTTGTTCCAGCTTGTACAGAAGATCTGCACAGAGGCCAGTGTGATTAGATGGGTGACTTCTTGTTTTCTTTTGTTTTCATACAGCATGAAGTAACAAGAATTAGCCCAACTTTGCTATTTATAGTAAAACCACATGCATTCACCTTGCAATTTCTCAAGTATTGTTCGTTCTTTGTAATCTGCTCCTTTCGCTTCCCCGGATTCCGTATGCTCTGCTGATGGGGGTGGGGAAGCAGAAGGAGGGGAAACAGAAGTGCTTTGCATTTTTCTGAGGCCAGGAGATTGTGAGCCAGATGCTCAGTCTGCCTTGACAACTGGGCAAGCGCAGTTGTTGCTAAACATTACTTAAACCGATTGCACTGCAGCTCTGACAGTCAGATGTGGAATTTTTCATACAGGTAAGGGGTTGATGAGTTAGGTGAATGTCTTGGGTAATCATCAGATGCCATTCTTGCTGTGTTCTCATGCCTGGAAATGCAAGTCTGGTTGGCATAAGTACAGGCTTAGAGAATTCCTTTCATTCTTGACTGGAGGAAAGCAATCAGAGTCGTTCAGCAGTCCAGGGCAGCCTGATAGCTGTACGCCTTTCCCTGCTGCCTCAGCTCCTGCAGCCTCTGCATTCCTCACATTCTGCGCTGCTGTGGACTGTTGTGTGCAGTCATAAGATTCGGACAGAGGTATTTATCCTCAAATAAATCACCGTAGTGTTAGTCAGAGGCTGGGCCTGTAGTCTGCAGTCTTGGAATTTGTTACAAATCAGGAATCCAGCACTGAAGTAATGCAAAACAATAAAAGCTCACAAGCAGAGAGAGACTTCTCATGTACAACATACTTGTTCTTTCTCCTAAAAACTTAACTATTTACAGCCCTTCTTTGGAGCTGAGAATGCTGGTATTGGAAAGAACTGTATGCTCTATTTCTGCGGCACGCATACATGACAGAACGGGAGAAATTTATGGCATTTTTGAATTATTATGTAACTTTGTGGGAGAAGGTGTGGGGTTTTGGTTTTTTTTTTTAAACTCATTTGCTAGCAATGAAATAAAACACAGCTGGCAGTTATGTACATTGTAACACTTTATACAGTGGAGGTCATAAAAATAATGAAGTCTGAACCAACAGACTCATGTGCAACCAAGGTTCAAACCTAAAAGATACAGGCAGTTACTCTATGCGATCTCTTAGATATATTGTAAAGCTATCTGATCTTTTCCCAGTATGGTGCGTTTTTACTCATCCACTATGGTGCGTTTTTACTCAATAGATTCCTTGTGTGATTTTATACCTGAAATCTGCATCTTTTCTTCTAATAATAACCAGCACTGTTTGTCTGCCTAGTGTTCATGTGTTGGGACTTAATGTATTTCAATTAAACCATCTACTGCAGATGAATCATGATCTAAAATAGCATACACGAGGCCATCTTTTTTCTACCTTATTTTGTACGTTTGACCTGGCCGTATGAAAATACTCTTTCAAATGAGTATTACAAAAACTCAAACTTTTGTGCTATGTCTGAAGTAGCTGTATATATTTCAGATAGATCAAGAAAGTTCAGATACCTCCTCTGAAATTTATTCCCACTTCCCTGCCACCGCCACCAATGAAGTTATTTTTTCAAATTTTTTTTGTGTTTTCCCTCTTTTTTGGATTATGACATTCTGGTGTAACAACAGAAATGGGGTACTCAAACTCCATGGAACAGTCCTAAAAAATTTGTTTGGAGATGGGAAGTGTGTTGTAGAAGCTTGACTTGTTTGCACTAATGACTGTAGATTTGGGGGAAGAAATATTTCATGGAACGCAATAATGGCAGTCACATTGTAGTGACTTGGAGGTTCTAGAAGTGTAAGTTTGACTACATTCAATTTAGAAAACCAAATCCGTAAGAGGTGCAGAGCGTGATGTGGAGACTACATGGCACAGTATCTTTGGTGACAGACATTTTTGTGATTTGGGCTATAAAGATGAGGTTTAGAGTTCCCTGCATTTTGAACTTCTCAGGACAAAGTCCCCTGAAAGCACAGGACAAAAGAGTTGGTGACACAAAAACTGTTGCTGAGCATAGCTGCCCCAGTCAATATCAGGGCGACAGACTGCACATCTTTGCCACATAGTGGTGTTTAAATCTGTACTCCTCTGGCCGAATGTCTTCTGTTATTCTAAATGTCCAGATGGACAGATCTTTTTCATTTGGAAGTCAGTGCTTAGAAGAGGAGTCTTTCTAACAGCGAGCAGCTCTTGTTCAGACATTTGGGTCTTTGTGATTGCCTTGGTAGAACTGTGAAGCAGTTGTATATTCATCCTCTTAACACCAGCATATTGGGGTTGGAAACCTAATTAAACAGCACAAGGATTGTGTGCCGTGGTCCATTATAAATGGTAGAACCTTTCATTAGCAATTGGATGTTAACTCTTAGGTACCAGCACCGTAGCATCACAGTCACTGTGCTTCAGTAGGAATGAATCCATTTAAATGCCTTGGATGTTTCATTGGAAAACCAGCGATGCCAGCCTTTTCTTCTGAAATTAAATGCTCTGAGATATTCCCTGCTGAGGTGTAACTCCCTTATGTAACTTCTTTGATTAGGTTCTTTGAGTGGTACTCAGCTATGTTTACTTTTATCATGGAAAAGTACAACTACTGGAGTACAGTCGGTAGTACAGTAGAGTGAATCAAATGCCCTGGCAATCCTACTGTGTTTCTGAAACACGTAATGGAATTCCTGTGCAATGAATAATTTATCAAAGGCTCTGTTTTCCAGAGGAGAAAATTCTCAGCTTTAGGATAAAAAAATAATTTGAAAAATCAGTGTGTGAAACTGCCTACCTTACTTACGGCAGTGTACCAGACTGTGTACAGCTTCTGTACTTTTGTGGTCACAGAAAATACACCGGTGAGCTCTTTGCTTGGGAAAAATGAATACTTCCACCCCAAATTAAAACCCAGGCATTGTAATATGAAATGCCTTTATTTGCATATTCCACTTTCCTGTACCTCCCTCAAGTGTTTCACTTAAAACATGTTCGCTAAAGTATACTTTATATACTTGTACATTATCCCGTGCAGAATTACAACGTGCTTTTTGTCTCATACTTTCTTTTCTGCTGCTTTGTAAGGGAGAGGCGAGTTTATTTTAAGCTTCAAGTTGGAACATGCCTTTGTTTTCGTATGACTTCACTGAATTCACCTTGAGTTACAGAAGAGCAATTAGGAGATTGATTCACAGAAGAATTACAAGCGCTTAAGGTATGGGTAGAGCGGCTGGAGAACTGTACCCGTCCTTCTTAACAAGCGAAGCTGCTTTGTTATGTTTCCGAGGTGTATTTATTAGCCTTTGGTGGCAAGTTCTGGGGCAAGATTAGCTCTCTTTGGGCATGGTGGCGCGAGGGGAGGGGGAATGAAGTGCCTTGTACCTTTAAGCGAAGGTCTCGGGCCTGACCTATGTTATGTGGGTTTCTTGTTTGTCAGGCTGGAGGCATTTTCTCATTTTCACAGTTCAGCTGAAAACAAAGGCCTCCTTATCCTTGCAGGGAGCTCTGAGGCGCTGACATCAGCCTTTTCCCAGCGGGCATCACTTCTGCCGTAAGAGTCCTCCCAGGGAGCCCAAGCACAGCTTCTCAGGGCACCTTGCTTGCTAAAGTAGCAAAGGAAACGAGGAAAAAAAAGACCACGAAATTTTGAAATTCTTTAATTTCTTTTTTTAAAAGAAATCACAGCGGGCTGACTTTGCTTCTCTTGATTTTTTTTTTTTTTTTTTTTTTTTTTTTTTTTTTTTTTTTTTTTTTGGTGGGAACTATCAAATATGCAGCTCTTAGCTGCTTCTGGGCCAGGAGAGTGACAGCTAATGCTTTAGACTGCGGTGCAGCAATTTTAAAAATAGTTTGCATGCTAGCCAGCTGTGGGATCAAATCACTGTATTTAAGGTTGAAGTGAACTGATGTCACTGGCACCTTCAAAAAGATTCAGATTTTTTGTTACTGGTAAAATTATATGTGCAGCTGACCATCTCAATTTATATTAGAAGGGAACTTTTTTTTTTTGTTCGCTCATGGAGTACATCAGGCTGAAACTTACCATTTTTGGTTTGAGACAAGCAGGCTTGTAAATGGGATATTTTCCTCTCAGTCTCTTTGTCACCATTCCCATTTAGTTGGTGCCATTAGGATCACAATGAAAATTAATTTCTATATGAAAACCGTCTTCCGGCAAAAATTTGCAGCTGTTATATGGATGCCCGAGGAACAATCATCTCTTGATTTGTGTGATGTATAATTTGACTTGTAGTAAAAGAAAGGTCTATACAGGAATAAGGTAGTTTAACATGTATTGTGTAAGATGATGGTTAGTTCTGGACACAACCACACAGACCCAGATGCTTCCGTTTCAAATTCTAGGCTGCGTTTTCACTTTTGTTACAGTGAAGAATCATGGCAAATCGGATCTGTGAAGCCAGGCTAGATTCCTGGAGTTTGGACGCTGACGTGCATATCATAACTTCCTTACTGTGAATATCCAATGGAGAATGCTTGCTTTAATGACCCAGTAATATAAATTACCTTGGCACCTTTTTTAATAAATCTGTTTTAAGCTGTCCTGAAAGCTACCTGGATTTGAAGACTTTAGGAGGTCATTTCATCTGACATCCTGCTCAAAGCAGGGTCAGCAGCATCCTCTTTGAGCTTGTAGTAGCTCAAAGTAAGGAATTTTGAGTAAGATCTGAAGTATTCAATAAATGGTGCTCCTTACTAGAGGGGGACTCCTTCACCTTCCTCCCTCCCGTTCCCTGACCCCAGCTGAGAATGCACGGTGCAAACGTTCCTCAGAAGATCAGGTCACTGTTGTGGTGGAGGGTGGCTCCAGCTCCAAGTACAGCTTGAAAAGATTTA